AACATGAAAAAAAAAAAATCTTATGAAACAGTACTCTCCCCCCATTTGCTCCGAGACAAATTTCAGTAAGTTATCCGAATGGAAGAGTGATGATGTCACCATCAGGAGACATTTTTCAGTAATTAAAGATTTCCTGCTTCTTTCTTGTGGCTCCCACAGCTTGCACACAATGAAAGGGATTGCAAACGAGTGAGAAAATCCATGAGACAGAAGAAGGAAATCTTTAATCACGGAAAATCTTCTCTTGCAGATGACATCATCACCCTTCCAGAAGGCTTAACTTTTGCACCTGGATTTGGGCCAGTAAATCTGATAAATATGATTGCTCCTGACACGGGAGAGGGCTAGATTGTGCCTGCCTGCCATAGCAGGTATTAAATAAATGAAGTCCATTACCTAGATGGATGACTCTGTCAGTTCTGACTGCTAGAATATTCAGTTTTCTAAAATCTTGAGCTTCCATTCCTCATATGATGAGACTTGTGAATATTGTTAAATTTTTTAAATCAAGAGTAAAATGCAGTGAAATGCTTACCCATCCCTCTTCTCACCTAGAACCTATCCTGCCCAAAACCATCTGGTCTAAAATTGCATTCCAAGTCCAGTCGAATGCCCCCTTCCCGACTCCAAAAATAGATAAGGAAGGCAAACATAATAAAGGCAGAAACTGCCAAGAAGTGTATCCTGTTGTACTGTCTCATCAGATAAATTCCGATCAACCTGGACTTCAACTCCTCTTAAACCTATTAGAAGCGGAGGCATTTGGGCTTGGTTGCCAAGCAGGAGACAATAAGATTTCTCTGGCTGCTGTGTAAATCGGGATCAAAAGGCCAAACATCATATACAGGGAGATGGCCAGAATTCATTGGGAAGGCAAAGAATGGAAAGAGAAGAAGGAAATGTCTAGCCTATAATTGGAAGTCTGCTGTCTGCTGATAAATAGGATTATTGATGGTGTACTGGTCAGAAAAAGCATTTGTCTTCTGGATGTCAATTTGGCTTCTAGTGGTGCACCCTCATTAAAAGCCCTTAACCTTCATCTCCAGAGAAATCTACATGTGGGACAGGAAGCAACAGTTAGAACTGGATATGGAACCACTGATTGGTTCAAAATTGGGAAAGGAGTACGACAAGGCTGTATATTGTCCCCCAGCTTATTTAACTTATATGCAGAATACATCATGCGAAAGGCAGGACGGGATGAATCCCAAGCTGGAATTAAGATTGCCGGAAGAAATATCAACAACCTCAGACATGCAGATGATACCATTCTGATGGCAGAAAGTGAGGAGGAATTAAAGAACCTCTTAATGAGGGTGAAAGAGGAGAGTGCAAAAAATGGTCTGAAGCTCTACATCAAAAAAACTAAGATCATGGCCACTGGTCCCATCACCTCCTTGCAAATAGAAGGGTAAGATATGGAGGCAGTGACAGATTTTCCTTTCTTGGGCTCCATGATCACTGCAGAGGGTGATAGCAGTCCCGAAATTAAAAGACACCCGCTTCTTGGGAGGAAAGCGATGACAAACCCAGAGAGCATCTTAAAAAGCAGAGCCATCACCTTGCTGACAAAGGTTCACATAGTCAAAGCTATGGTTTTTCCAGTAGCGATGTATGGAAGTGAGAGCTGGACCATAAAGAAGGCTGACCACCCAAGAACTGATGCTTTTGAATTGTGGTGCTGGAGGAGACTCTTGAGAGTCCCCTGGACTGCAGAGAGAACAAACCTATCCATTTTGAAGGAACTCAACCCTGAGTGCTCAGTGGGAGGACAGATCCTGAAGCTGAGGCTCCAATACTTTGGCCATCTCGTGAGAAGAGAAGGCTCCCTGGAAAAGACCCTGATGTTGGGAAAGTGTGAAGGCAAGAGGAGAAGGGGACGACAAGAGGATGATATGGTTGGACAGTGTCATCGAAGTGACCAACATGAACTTGACCCAACTCAGGGAGGCAGTGGAAGACAGGAGGGCCTGGCGTGCTCTGGTCCATGGGGTCACGAAGAGTCGGGCACAACGACTAAACAAGAAGAACAACAAACCCTCATATGCCATGAGAGAACATTTCAGTCACCCACGATCACATTTTATGGCAGCATTCACATTGATACCCTGCTGCCTTACAAGCTGAAGAGTCGTACACAGTGAGTCTGAACTGCAGCTACGTTTCATACAAAGGCGTGTGAGGGTCTTTTCCCCTCTCAGTTTTACAAACGACAAACAGAAACAACAACAACAGAAGTTATTTATTATTTATTTCTTGAATTTATATACTGTCCCATTAGTGCAATGCATGGTTCTAAGCAGTTTACAAGTTTGAAAAAAAAGCATTATAATAATCCTGTAGTCAATGAAAACAGATAAGCAAACAACAAAAACTCGTCCCATTAGTGCAATGCACGGTTCTAAGCAGTTTACAACAAGTTTTAAAAAAACATTATAATAATCCTGTAGTCATTGAAAACAGATAAGCAAACAACAAAAACTCCAAGAGGCGGAGATTGTAAAAATAAAATCCAGAGCACAAGGCAAATAAGCAAACAAAACAAAGAGGAAAAACATATTAGGCTTGGTTGCCCAAAAAAGGCCACGTTGTAAAGCAGTGTTTTTAAATGTGGGGAGTCAAGAGAGTCAGGTCCAGTTGTACTGAAGGTTGATTCCAAAGCGTTGGTACCACAATGTACTTCTGGTGGATGATTTCCTGGCATCCTTTGGAGTGGTGACTCAAGGGACCAATGCCTAGGAGAACCTCATGGAGCAGGTAGATGACCTTGGAGAAAGATCTTCCGAGAGAAACATCTGGAACAAAAATTGTTCCAGAAAATCAAATGACATTTTACCCTTAGGTCACCTTTGTGCCACTGTGATAATATTGAGGGGGGGGGATTACTTTGGGGGTTGCCATGTTTTTGTCATACTCAGCAGAACCAATGACCTGGAGAGGTGTTGAGTGCTTCAACGCTGGAGGCATTCAAGAGAAACTTAGACAACCACCAGGCAGGTATCCTTCGATTTGTATTCCTGCCTTGAGCAGGGGGTTGGACTGGATGACCTTATAGGCCCCTTCCAACTTCACGATTCTATGATTGTAAAATGAAGCAGCAGAAGAGAGAAACTGTTAATTATTGTAGGTTGGCCTCATGGAGGGGCAGGTTTGTGTGTATGGGGAGAGATTTTGGAATTATTGGGAATTCAGGAAACACAAGCCATTATACATCAGAGCCTAATCACGACTCTAATTTCTAAGGCTAACCCTGTGGCTAATCTCAATAAATTGGAATTCCCATGGGGTCAGAAAATACTTTGTCACTCAGTGCAGGATTTTTTGTCGTAAAAAGGCCAGTGGCTACACGAGGCTTGGTGCTGTATAAAAGAGATGAACCTTGAAGAGACTAGTTGAAGCATGGCAAATGGCCTTGACTCCGCAGGGCGATGCCCATGTGAAGCCAGTTCATTAAGGTTCTGAATGCCATGGCAAACCACAGCTTTTGACCTATTCGCCCAGTCAGACATATAGAATCTTTCCTTGGTTGCTTAGTAAAGAAGGTCAGAGGAATTCCCCTTATTTTTCAGATTGGGTCTTAGTGCTACAAAAACATTGTGAGAATTATCACTTTTTGCAGATGGTAGAATATATATTAAGAATGTGCAAGGAAGAAGGCACCCTCTGGTCTTTTATTTCAGGTAGCAAAACATCTGGAATCCCAATTTTCCCCTGATGCTTTTATTTTGAGTTATCCCTCACAAAGTTTTGCGTTGCTTGGAATCCTCGTAATGTTTCTTGATGTCAAGTCTTCTGTTTTCTGTTTTAGATTTTTGCATATATTTTTTGCTATGTACCATTGTGTTGTCCTTTGTAGACTGCTAAATGCACGGATGGAGAAAAGTGGCAGTATGGGGTGTCATTCATACCAGTGTGAACATGTTCCAATTAAAACACAGCTTATTTCTCTGCATCTCCAGATGTAAAGCCTGATAAAGTCATGAATAGCATAGCTCAGTTCTACACATGTCTAGTAACGCATGGAATTGACTGATCCATCTAGAAATAGATTTAGATGTGATACAGTGCAGTGGGCAACCTGTATTATAATGTAATATAATAGATTATCCTATACTATCTGGTCAAGGGGAAATAAACTTCAACCACTGGAAGTTGTGACACCAGGGCTACCAGATAGCATGGGCATAGCATACAGCCTCATTCTCCTCTGGAGGAGGGTAGTAATGGAAAATGGCAGTCGTGAGGTTTCAATGCAGCTGTGGTATGAATCCAAGAGGGATGGAATCATGGAGCCCATGAGCCACATGGAGCCCAAATGTGCCCCACCACACAGATCTCCCATGGTTAAAAAAAAAAGAAGTACTAGAAATGGAAAATCACAACTCTCAAGAGACATCATATTTCTCCTATTAAATGCGGTTCCTTCCTACATCTTGTTTTGGTCCTAAAAGTATTTTTTTTAAAACCACATGTAATGTTCCGATCACTTCGAGTTTTGTAATAAAGGGTATGAGTGCTGTCCAGAATGGTGGCAGAAGATTAGCATAATTGCTTATATCCTGACATATAAGCATCTGTCCATGGGTAGGTAGATTATTGGCCTAGTAGCAGAAATCTGGATGACCAGAAAACTCTGGATACCCCGAGGAACATCAGTGAACTAGAGTTTACTCTTGGAAGCAGAATCCAGAAGGGTGGGAGCATCACAAGCAAGAAGAAAACTTTAGGGGGAAAAATTAAGTAAACAAAATTTGAAAGCAAATAGAGGAAGAGTGTCATATGATGTTAAAAAAGAGGAACTTACATTCATTCTAAATGGGCAGGATATAAATTTAATAAATAAATAAATAAAATATCAGCAAATGGAATTAAAGGTTGGCTTTGAACCTGTGCATGTGTTTGTGTGTGCACGCATGCATGAAAAATCATAGGCATTGTTTTAAAGTCTACAATACAAGAGTATTTTTTTATTCTTTCTTTATTCTTTCTTTATTGCACATTACGAAATAGATAAAGAAGCAGGGGAAAGACAGATATATCACCGGTACTGCATGGAACGAGCATCCGTACATTGTGCCCACGTGTTTACTACCGTCTCCCAGATAACAGCCATAGAAGCAGAACACATGCTGAAGAGAACAGCTGGTAAGGTTCATACGTCTCCGAGGATATGGTGGATAGATTGCCTGGTTGACCCAAAACATTTTGTTCCCTGAGGCAGAACAACAAATGGGACTTACCTGGTTTTGCTGTACATAGTCTTCGAGCAGCAACTTGGCAAAAACACAGAAGTAAAACGGCATGGGACGGGGTGGGAAAAGCTTAGTGATGGGAGAAATTAAAGTTTATTGACGAAGACAGATGTTGGGCAGTACAATGATACCTCGACTTACGAATGTCTCCACTTGCAAACGTTTCGAGTTATGAAGAGCTCCGTTCGCAAAATGTTGCTTCGACTTGCAAACGGAGCCTCGACTTACGACCAAAAAACCCTTTCCTGCCCTTTTTTGACCTAAGTTCATCTTAGGCCAAAAGAAGAAAAAATTTTTAAAAATTCTCCTCCTAGTAGTAGAGTATGGATTAACCAGCTTTGCATTATTTCCTATGGGAACTAATGCCTCGACTTAAGAACAGCACCTCAACATATGAACGAAAAACAGCCGAAATGGATTAAATGGTTTTCAATGCATTCCTATGGGAAATTTTGCCTCGAATTATTAACTTTTCGATATACGAACGTCGTTCCAATATGGATTAAGTTTGTAAGTCGAGGTACCACTGTATTTTTCTTGGTTCACTAGGGAGTTATAAACCAGAGCTTTCAAGTTCTCTGGAATTATTCACCAGACAAAGATGGTATAAAAACGTGGGGTTAAAGCAAATATTTCAAACACTGGGCCAGATGTAATTCCTGTGGCTCAAGAAAGCCGGACTGCCAACCAAGCAAAACCGAGTTTAGGTTTGCATGAGACAGAGGTGACCAAAACATCAGTTGGCAATTCCTGTCCGCGACCCCCCCCAAAGACAAAAGGCAGGCTTGGCATGTATCCCCCTCCCCACCTTGATATGCACAGTTCTTCCACTTGCCTTAGATGTAGCCACCCATGTCTGTTTATAAGCTTGATGCAGTAAAATGTGCAACAAGGTCTGAGTGTTCACATCAACAAACCAGGAGAAAACATTTGGGTGTCATAGTAAGCTAGAACGTCATTTGCAGTCAAACTAGTAGCCGTGCCTCTTGGATTGAGGAGATTAAATCCTAAAGTGCAATTTCATGGAAAAGTCCCTTCTCATGGGAGTAGAATTCTTCCCAACCATCCAGCTGTGGTATTTTAAGTAGTCAATGCAAAACAAACAAACATGTGGATTGAGGAGATTAAATCCTACAGGGCAATTTCATGGAAAAGTCCCTTCCCAACCATCCAGCTGTGGTATTTAAGTAGTCAATGCAAAACAAACAAACAAAATATTAAAGTCATCTGTTCTTAGCAATGAAAGCCAATGTCAAGGCAAATAGTTCATTGATGAGTTTATTGGCTATCCAAAGATCTTGAATATCCTTCATGGTATTAACTAACACAACAATAGTAGTTGAAAATCTTCTGGGTTAACTCCTGTTGTTACATGTGTAAGTCCTGAGCAGACCTATTAAATCACTGGGAGTGACACAGGTCTAATTTGACGAGTCCCGTACATTTATTGGATCTACTTTAGTTGACACTGGCAAATAAGTTAAGCAATAATTTTAAGGGGGGATGTTTTGTTTTATAGTTTGTTTGTTTTGCATGTTAGCCATTCCTAGGGAAGACTATGGCCATAGCTAAATTCCATCCTAGAATGTGTACTCACCTTCTTAAAGGCCTGGACTCAGTTGTTAAAGTTGTATAACACCTTAGAAGCAAAACTGATGCTTGCACTCACAAAGGCAACCCCCACGATTCCCAGTTAAAAGAATCAGATTGCAAGGACTGGTGGAAACTTCCATCTGAAATCCCAGTCCAAGCAGGACTGTAAACTTCCAGTTAGCACTCATCTGCTATAGCAGTAGTTCCCACTGGTCTAGATGGGGTAATGTAAAGCAGCCTCTTATGTTACATCTCAGCCTTTTTAGCTAATTTTTTTAGGGTGTACCTGGAGGAAGGTTGAATAGGTGTAATGCACGCGTAGGATTAGTTGCCCTTGCTGAGATTACAAGATTACAATCTTGATATTTAGTTCAAAGTCTGAAATACAATATAGAGTCTCCGATATATGTGTACATCTCTTGGAAAGTGGGATTAAAGCCTTAATAACAATAATCATCATTCACACTGGTAATTAAAGGCTATTTCCAGTTGTAAGTCCCACCTAGATAAAGTAGATCAGGGGTCTCAAACATGCGGCCCGGGGGCCATTTGCGCCCCCCCAGATGATAGTTTGTGGCCCTCGCCTTGCCTGCCCCCCCCAAAGCACCCACACATCCTCAAGAGTTAAAAAAAAGCCTTGCCTCGCTCGCCGGCTCTCTCCCAAGACAGCACCTCTTGCACCCTCCATCCAGAACTGCAGCCTGCCAGCCAGCCCACCTGTCTGTCGGCTAAGGAAACTCCTGGGCGGCTTCCTTGGGCTCTTGCTCCGCTTGGCGGAAAATCTGATGCAGCCTCACCCAGACTCTGCCTCTAGCGGCCCGCAGGTAAATTGAGTTTAAAACCCCTGGAGTAGATCCATTGAATCAGTGGTTTTATGTAAGTGTTAAATTAACAAATGTTCTTTATCATTTTGTTGGAACTAATAGCTGGATTTGTCTGTAAGCACACAAGATCCTTGCATTTGTTAATACCTGGTTGGTGTTTTGTGTTTTTAACTTACTGCCCCTTCAATTAAAAATCACTCCCACCTGTTTGCACTGGCTTCTTGCATGGAAAACCCATGGAAACCGTAGTTGATTGACTTTCTTATTCTGCCAATGAAAGCTGGCTGCCCTTTAGAGGACCCCATAATACCTGATGCCCCACGTCAGAGTTGGGAAATCTGTTGCTCAGAAAAGGTCAATAATCTTTGCCAGAGTAGATCATTAAGCTGAACATCTATGCAAGGGCATTTCCGATCGAAACAGTCTGTGAATTACAGACAAAACAAAACGCTGATTGTGCCACGTTGGGGAGAATTGGGAGATTATATTGGAAGCCATGAGGGTCCCAGAGTCAGTGCTCCAGCCTAGCCCTGCTCCAGCAGCAGAATTAACTCTTGAAGAAAGATGACAATGATGTCAAGCCAGTTTGTTCAGGTTTCAATTTCAGGAGAGATATTCCATGCTCCTTGTTGCAAGAAACTTTGAATTCTGATCCTCCTGAGCCATTTTGGAAAGGCTAATGTGTTGTGTGTGATAGGTGACCCTGTGAGTAATTTTCCCTATTCCTGTCCAGCCCCATTGAGAAATGAAGGCAAGCGTGTTCTTCTTTTCCTTCAAGATCTACTCAGCTACCACTGCCTTTCCTCTGCTTTTACCAGATGTCGTCACTCCCAACGGCCTGAACATTAAGAAGTTCTCAGCCATGCACGAGTTTCAGAATTTGCACGCCACCTGCAAAGCTAAGATCCAAGAATTTGTTCGAGGCCATTTCTACGGGTAGGCTTCTCCTGTTCAAAATGGATGGTTGGGGGATGGTTGAGTTACTCCAGTTTTTTAAGCCTTGCTAGATTGCAAACTTACGGTGTAAGATTCCTTCTTCACATTACAGGTGCAACATAGAAGCCTTACTCTTAGATTGGCAGATGTTTGATTTTATGCGTGGCAGGGAGAGGAAGGTGGAGGGTACCACTACAGGTTGCTGTTGAATAGATTACCTACTAGATGCATAGCTGGAGCTCTTGGTTTGTTGTAGTGGTTGCTGTGTGCAGATGTGCTCACTTCTGCTTGTCTTTTGGCTCTAGCTGCAAAGTGCATGGACCACAAAGAAGCCCCCCCCAAACACTCTTCCAAATCAGATGGACTTTGATAAGCAGAGTGATTTCCAATCATTTTGCCTCTTCTCCACCACAAGGATTTCCAAGGGAGATGAATGAGGAACTGCACTTTAATTATTCCAGTCTTGCTCCAGTCGCTTAGGCAGTTGATTTCTCTCTCCTAGAATTGTAAACCTATAACTAGGAAGGAAAAAGGGTTGCAGGGATAATAGGTAGGTAATGGTTGGTCTGTCTATCACGTCGCCCTTGCAAATGTGCTGCTTTCCGGGAGAGAGCAGCAACAGCGGTGATTCCAGACCTGAGCATCCCACAGAATCAACTTCCAGTGTAATTCAGGGGTTGTGCAGGCTTCTCAGCTTTAGGGAACTCCACATGGTGCTGCGGACCGTTTGTACACCTGCACATAGATGGTACAAACATATACGTACCAGTGATTCGCTTTTCTTGTTGGGGAAAGGGGTTTAGAGAGCTTTTACTCCACATCTTCCCCTAAGGTGCATTTCTTCCCATGTTCTTCTTTAGATGGCTCTTTCTTCATTGCAAAAAAAAAAGAGAGAGAGAATGAGAGAGAGCATATACACTGGTGCCTTGCTGGACAGTTACCCCGCATGACAGTTTTTTTGCTAGACATCGACTTTTTGCGATTGCTATAGTGATTCGCAGAACAGTGATTCCTATGGGGGAATTTCGCTGGACAATATTTGGTCCTTGCTTCGCAAACCGATTTTTGCTAGACGACGATTTTGACAGCTCGCCCCGCGCTCACAAAACAGGTGTTTTCGGGACCTAAGCTTCGCAAGACAGCAATTTAAACAGCTGATCGGCGGTTTGCAAAGTGGCTTTCCTATGGCCGATCTTCGCTAGACAACGAAGATTCTTCCCCATTGGAACGCATTAAACAGGTTTCAATGCATTCCAATGGAGAAATGCTTTTCGCTAGACAATGATTTCGCTAAACAGCGATTTCAGTGGAATGGATTATCATCGTCTAGCGAGTCACCATTGGACTAGAAATGGAGGGGAAATTAGCTAAAGTGGTGGCAGCAAGATAAGAAGCAGTCATTAAGGCATGTCGTTCCAGGGGTACAGGTTGTGCTTGAAGTAATACCCAAAATCACATGTCACATCTTTGATGAAGTGTGTGTGTTTTGGGCATTCTTTCTATTAATATTTTTTATACTTTTTTCCCCTTTTTTAGATCACTGCCTATGGGCCCCATGTGGGAAAACCAAGTGGCTATTCTATACAGATAGGACAGGAATTCTAACTTGCTGTAACTAGTTATGTAGTTGCTATATGTCAGTGATCTTTGTTCAGCACTGTGTACCGGGGGGCACTGTTTGATCAACCATTTGAACCATCTTCTATTTGCTCTGTTTTCAGTCATCTTGATTTCAACCTTGAAAGGACCTTATTTTTCTTCATTGCTGGGAGATACGAGTTTTCAAACAAAGGAGCTGACATGTTTTTAGAGGCTTTGTCAAGATTAAACTTTCTACTAAGGGTAAGAAAGAAGTTTCTTGAATCACTCGAAAAGTATATACGTTGAGCCATGTTTGATCCAACCAAAGGCCAGTCTGATCTGCTCTTGATTACGGGGTGCTTTTCAGAAGCTCAGGTGCTTATCCCAAGTCCCAAGCTGCTGTTAAGTATGTTTATTGATTCGTTCATTTAAAATATATTTACCTTATCTTTCCCTTAAAAGAGGAGCCAAGGCGGCTTATATAATTTTTTCATGCATATAAAAAGCAAAAAGCAATATTCAGATATTCCTGTCCAGCTCTGCGGTTCCACGATTGTTTAAAAAAAGAATTAAATAAACATCATATTAAAAATATGAGATAAAAGCTTTAGTGAAACAAATTTAAAAGCAACTAAAGTACAAACCATTCCATTTTTTTCAACAACCCTTTTAGAAAGTCAGTCCCTAAGAGAAACCTTGCCTGCAGAGAAAGGTCTTTACCTGCTTGCAGAACGATAGTAAAGATGGGGCCTCCAGTGGGAGGGAGTTCCAAAGTCTGTGAGGAGCCACAGAGACAGCCCTCTCCTTAGTTATCCCCACATACACATGTGGGGATGGTGGAACCAAGGACCTCCCCTGATGATCTTAACACCCGGGCAGATGCATAAAGGAATGGGCAGTCTTTAAGATAGCTTTAACCCAAGTCACGTAGGGCTTTATAAGTTAAAACTATCATTTTGAATTCTGCTCAGAAATGGATCGGCAGCCAGCGGAGCTGCTACAACAAAGGGATTAATGCGATCTCTGTAACCAGCAGCCTTTCAACTGACCAGGAGCAGATCCGTCTTATCTGGGTTAAGTTTGAGTTTATTCACTCTCATCCAGTCC